ATTGTGCCACTTTAAAACCTGAACATGTTGTCAGCATCATTGTGGAAAGAGGAATAGTAAATGTTAAAATATTCATGAAACCAAATAGAATGCACCATGAGCCTACATGAAAATGATTCAGTATGTGGTGCAATTGCTTAGAAGATTGGGGAAGGACAAGTATTTATCATGGTAAAATGGTCATTTCTTTGTTGTAGGTCTAAGAAAAAGGTTTTACAATTGCTTTGTATTTTATCCGTGTGTACTATGACATACTCTGAAGTTGTTTTCTGCTTTCCAGTGGTGTTTTATCTTCCTAAAATGCCAAACATTTCAGTTAAATCTAATCTACAGTACAATTAAACATTTAAAATGTAACTAATCTTATTTCAAAGGATATACAGTACAGTACACTTTAAACTACTACATTTTATTAAATTATTATTATTGTTGTCGGCCATTTCAGACCATTTTTTTTTACAAAATATAAATAAATTAGATAAGGAGATTTGTCCATCTTCTATAAACTAAAGGAACACCTTTTTACGCAAGATTTCCCTGGTAGTTGACAGTCCTGCCAGGCTGCCTAGTGTGTGCTACTAGCTATGTGGGCAGGTTTAGTCATGCCAAAACAGTTACACTAAGGTCAACAGCATTAACTGATGTACATTGATGATGTAGTTTTGACACTGATACATCCTCGGTACCAGGATGCGATATTGGAATTCAAGAAAATGTAAAGGTAAAGGTGAAAATGTCCAGTTTCATTGAGATTTTCATAGATTCTAAGCTGATCCCCCAGAGTTTACTTGAAACAAAGATGTATGATGTCTTTATTAGTGAGCAGTCTAATGTAACCCTGCACACTACATTGTAAAAGTGTGTGTGATAAGATTAGCACTTCCATCCATCTCTTCTCTAACAGATTCTTCCCTTTCAGGGTCGCAGGGTAACCGGAGCCAATCCCAGCAGGCAACGGGCACAAGGCAGGGCACACCCTGGATGGGATGCCAGTCCACTGGGGGGCACACACATAGATACAAAACTGCACATGAACGCCCTAGGCCAACTTTCCTTGAAGCCAACTAACGTACTGTCACGAATGACCCGCTGAGCAAACGTGAAGATGAACCCTATGCAGGACCTTAGGGGGTCTAGAGATGAGGGAGAAGTTCCCAGAGGGCTAGGCGAGAGGCAAGTTCCGAGGTTAGTAGGCGAGTAGGTAGGCGAGTAGGTTTCCAATCCAGAAGAGGGTAAGGCAGAAGTCGTAGTCAAAAGGCAGTTCCGTGATTCAAAAGGTGTAGGTCAACGAGGAGGCTTCCAATACAAAAGGGCAAGACAGTAGACATGGTCGAAGGAAAGTTCTGAGGTTCGTTACAAAGGGAGAGTAGGATACAGAAACAAAAGCAAGGTAGGAGCTCCGAAGAACGACCAATACCAGGCAAAGAGCAGATAGTTCTTAAGGGTTAAAGTATTGTGTGAGGAAGAGGGTGCGTTGATTGATGGAGTGTCGTGGTTGGCTGATTTGCAGGTGCGGTGTCGTTTGGCAGAAGAGTTCAGAGCTGGAGAGTAATTAGCACGGGTGCGTTTCCGTGTGAGAATGTGGTAGGCGGAGGGCGTGACACTTACAAGTATGTCTTTGGACTATAGAATGGAACCAGAGTGGCCCAGTGGCAAAATTTGCAGAATTAACCGTTTCAGACCTGCAACTGTGATAACTGTTTGGTATGCATCCTTATAATGTTATAACTGCTTCAATAAATCTATTAAATTTATAAAACATTTATTAACAGCACCTAAAAATAATATCACCAAATGACTTTTGATGTAATAAAGATCTTTGCCAAATGTATTATCTGAGTAGTAGAAATGCATGTATGAGAATATAATGGAAAAATGATCATTACAATGTACTGTAAATGCCAAGATATGAACTTTGATCTCAAGTCAAAGCTTATAAAGAGCACAAAACGCAATTATAGATCTACTGTGCTTTATGAGGTAGGTGGGATTTAAGAATGTAAACTGTAAATCACTTGGGTGCTTCTCTGTGATTTACAGGCACTGTCCCTTCCTTTTGCTCTTTCATTTCAACTGCTCCCAAATTACATGTGTTTTCCCTGGACTCTTCAGAAAACGAGTGTGCAGTGATGCAGAGACTAGGTAATCAAAATGTTTTAAAAATCAAAAATACCAAAAAATCTTGTTCTGAGCTTGGCAATTTAAAATTCATAGCTTAATGTCTTTGAATTTCCCGAAATTGCAGTAAACAAATGTGACCTTTTCAGAAATCATATCATAATTTGAATTTATAAGGTTAGAAACACTTAAGGTACATTTACATATAAATGAAGCTGGGTGTTTACCAATCCGAAGGCCACCTGTGTGCTTAAATGTGGGCTCGAAGTTGTTTATGCCTGTGTGTTATATGTGTAAATCGCACTTGGAATATAAATATATTAACAACAAAACTTACAAGGTTCTAGAAGTCTTCTTAAAAGTAGTAAAAAAAGAATACAATACTGAAACTGCACAACACAGTTTTACAACAAACCTAAAGAACTCAAGAAATATGCACCTGCTTGTGTACGTCACAAAGTTCTGGACTAATTTCTAAAAGCTAAAATGAAAATCATTATTCCAACACTAACAACTGTTTAACCCCCAGGATTCTATCTCTAGTAGTTCTGTTTATCACACAACTTCTATCAACTGAATGCCATCCAATTCTCTAATCTAAAGCTATCAATTTGTTCTCATGGATGTGAGCAGCAATTGGATGATTTTGGGACAATTTTATATTTTGCTAACTGGGAAAAATGTTGAATTTCTCCACTTTGCCTTCAGGGATTCAAATAAGCACAGACACGGGTTATACGTCTTACAAAGTAAAAGTACTCTCTGACTCTTCAATACTGGAAACAATTTTGCTCATAATGTGATATTATGCAATTTATCCATTAGAAATAGCTGCCAAGTGAAATCCCTAATTTAGGAAACTCACACAGCCAAGAACACTAATGAAAACATCAGAAACACTGGGACTTCAGAAAAACTAAGATGAATTATTTGCAAGAAAAAAGAACAAAAATGAATTTGGGAAGCAGAGGCTCAGATTGAAAGCACAAGCTGCAACTTTCTGATGAGGTTAAAAGATAAATATCAGCTAAGACCCGAGCTGCTGCTGCTCTCAGAGACAGAGGACATTATCTGTCTCTGCTGGCTGTTATTGATACAATGCTTTGAATGGAGAAAATACTGGTTTCAGTTACCAGAGACCCGCAGCAACTTGCTTCTATCGACAAGTGCGCGTTCCTCCAGTCCAAACAAATAGTATAATATAGTAAGTGAATCTGATCAATTCATTTTCTTCAGGCTCCCTGGCAACCTGGCTTGCAACAATGAAAAGATACTGCGATGTACAGTTTGTATGATACCCTGCTGCCAAAAGGAAATCAGATCTGTGATGGGTAGGGAAAGGTAAAGTGGATTATTGATCATCCTCAGTGAAGAATACACTGTCAATAGAGTAGCACTGCTATTACAGGGATTAAAACTAAAGAGATTGTATTATTCTTCTGTTGCCGGAGTGGCACAAGTTAAGTGAAATGCAATCTGATGAAACAACAGTGTAGACATTTTCTCAATTAAACATTAAGGCCGTTTCTCAAGGTAAAAAAAACATCAAGCAGTCTTTGAAATACTTTTTCTCTTGGAGACAAATATCTGTAAGCATTAAGATGCCAGTGCTAAGAGGTGGATCTCTATTTGTTCTTGTATGAGAAAGGGCTGGTGTGGGGTGGCCAATGCATCATTCTGGGGAGTCAAGTTAAACTACACAACTACACTGTTTTTTTCAATCTCTTATTCAGGGTGGAGGTGGGGTCTGGCATCAAGCTGTGAATAGGGTTTATGACACAAAAAGAAACTGTCTGACATTAATTATTAAGTCAATTTATGAGTCTCTAATTGTTTCAGGTGTGGGCGAGAGACTTCCAGCAGGGGTCACTAACAGCTAACTAGTGCTGAGGCCAGTGAAAGATTAATCCTTTCAAATATAATCAAACTCCTTTCAGATAAAACTGTGACATCCGTATATCCCAGAAAATATGGAATTAAGGTAATGTGGGCAGCATGCAGTTCCAATCTAACGATGAGTGGAGGCATGTTCTGTAACTGACTCAGGTGTCAAAATACTTCAGTTTCCTTCCTTTTGGCTCAATTTAATATTATTTGCAAATTGCAATTAGTAAAATAAATATCATACCAGAAGAAATATTCAAAGCATATTCAAAGTGAAATGGATCAGCTCACAGTAGACAGCCAGCTAGAGATTATTTTTGAGTTCCAGTGAGATCATGAGCCCACACTGGTGACCTACCAAATATCAGACCTACCAAATCTTTTTAAATGGTTTTCATCACACAAGTTGCAATTAACATGTTTTTACATGCTTAGTACCCACAGAGAAGAAAACGGTACAAATGCCAAAAGGCAATGAAAGCTTTACAGAGTCGAGGAAGACATTTGGTTTGTGTTGTTCCAGCTGTTCCTTAAAGGATCCCATGGAAGCTGCTTCAACAAAACACTTGGGCAGATTGTGTTTTTCCCAAAGCCCCTTAAGCCACTGTGAAAAGAAATACTCTGTGTGCTCTGTCTTAAAGCTGCTATTCTTAATTTCCACTTGCGTCTGCTTGTGCTCTGAATATGACTCAGACTGGAGTACTGTATGTGGTCGGCAATAACTAACAACTTGTAGTCAAATCAGTAAACAAGAAACAAGGTTAAGTGAGCAGAGAGGCTAACTCGAATCTGGGTTGGGACATTAGGTTCTGCACCACAGTGGTGCACGTTTGATACTTTAAGACTAGATTGCATTTTAGGCCTTTCATTTTTTAGCAGTTACAGACACTTTTAATATATGGAAGTCTTTGGTTCTGCTTCAGGCTTGGAGACTCCTGACATACTGTAGCAGCGTAGTTAATTGCAATCATATTGAAATGAAGTGAGAAGTGACTCACATTCCATTGATGACCCCATCAGGGTTGAGCATAGGGATGATCTTGAAGATGTAAGTCTCGCGCAGGCTCTCTGCCACAGGGTCTGTGCTGCACAGGAACTCCAGAGTGCCCTTCATCACCCAGCTGGCGTTGCTCTCTCCCGGGTGGACCCGAGCTGTCAGCACTATGCAGGGGCGATTACCTGCAGGGGAGAAGTTCAGGCTGAGGTTTATAAACCAGTCATAAAGAGGCAGCCTGCTTGGAGGCCTCTGAGCAGTGCAGCCTCTACAGCATATGGAAGATCTTTCTCAATCGCTCTTCTTCCCAGTAGAGGAATGGCCAGGTTGCAAGACTTCCTCTGGTGAGGTAGATCAGCCTTTTCCTGTTCAGTCCGCACAACAAGCAAAGCTGTGTTTTGTTTACAGTAGCCAATGGCAGAAAGGTGCTGTTAATTACACAGGATTATGTTTAGAAAACAGAAATCCTGGGAAAGAAAATAGCATCAGCGAGTTTGCAAACAGACCGACCCCTGAATAATTAAACTTTAAAGGGGAATTCAACATAATCCATCTACAAAGACTACTTGCTCATGCAACATTCAATGGCAGTTTTCCAGAGAACACAGCTGCTAACCCTGCTGCCCTGGACATATTCCAGTCTAGCTATGCTTCCTCTGCCATGGGCATGGTAAGCAATTCTTCCCATTCCTGCTTTTTCTACTGTAGACCCAAGATGTTGGGGCAAAGTGGCAGAAGTGCAAGTAGATGTTTCCTCCAACCTGCAAAGTTGTTTGTAACCTACATTGGGATTCAGTGTTTAAGGCTGATTATTATTATTATTATTATTATTATTATTATTATTATTATTATTATTATTATTATTATTATTATTAATCTGTCTCCTCTACTCTTTAGGCATCTAAACATTTTCACAGAACTGCACCAGACAAGAAAATACATCATAGTCTCCAGAATGCGTTTTCTAAAATAGTTTTTTAAAATAGACACTCTCATGGCAGTCAGTACTCATCATCTCATTTCTGTAAGGTATGTTTTAGAAATTATTTCCAGGCCAGATCTTTGAATACTTCAGTAAAATGATAAGGATATGGGATGCAGAACCTGTCCTTTGACTAAGGAATTGAAACTTGGCTAGGAAAAAAAAAACCTTTCCTGCACTTGCTCATTTTACTGTTAAGAATATAAGAATATAACTGTGGTTTTTCTCAAATCACGTCGAGAAAACCTAAAACCAAAAGAGAGCTAACAGTTTTATCTCTTTTTGTAAAGAAGTATTTTTGCTTAGTCCTAATTGCACTCACTTAGCTTCCATTTTCCAGGGGTTTTACTTTGTTGGTGAGCTTTAAGTTGTCCGAGATTACTCAATTATGTTTGACGGTTTTGAATCCATGAGTCAAGTCACTTCAAAATATTTACTATTTCAAAATGTTTGAATGTTTAATATTTTCTCTTTGCTTGCATAAAAATATCTGCACTTCTCTTGAACTTCATACATTTTCCACAGTAGTCATATCATTTTATATAGCGATGACCAAAATTGAAAACAACTAAATGAAATATAAATACAGTTGGTACTGTATGTTTTTTTTATTATTATGGCTACTTTTGTTTTAAATCCAAGACACATATAATTGGATTTTTGTGCTGACAAACAAATTTTAGAGCTGTCTGTAGACAGTATATAATGCATTTGATAATTTATTAACTTTGGCATATTTGTTTTTCTATGTACCTGTAGCTGCCAACAATTTCCTATGAAGTTTTATGAGCATGTGTCTAACTAAAATAAATATACAAAAATGAATCTGGGCTATCATGCCTTTTTTGTTCAAATATGCTCAACCTTTTTATGGTTCGACATATATTTTATGGAAAGAAAAAGACCACACCAGACTAAAAGAATAAAAAACCTATTGAATAGCATTTGAAGTTAGTTTCGGTAATGTTTCACATTTTGCCCTCCACACACAAAATGATGCACGCTGCTAAATGGAGGAAATAATCTTGATAAATATGAACCCTAGGTGCTGTTAGCTGTGCTAACTCTCCCTACAGCAATCTGGGGTCTTCAGACAAACTCATCACCTTCACAGCAACCACTGCCTTCCCACGCATTGCTCATTTTCTGTTCTCTTCAATGTGTGACCCTCTTCTGTTCATGAGAAGCTGAACATCTCCTCCCCACCTGCAGTACTCATCATCTATCGAAAACTCCCATCTCAAGAGAATCCTCACACACAATCATTGATTCCCCTAGCAGTAGTAAAAAATGAATTCAAGCTTTACTGAATTTCAATTTTTCCTTTGCTTAATGAATTTTATTAGTCTCTTTTTCCCATTTCAGTCTACGCAAATACCACACACCATTTAAAAGATAATATTTCCTTGAAGATTGCTCCTAGCAAATGTGTATCTCTTTATTCTAAACCCCATAATACAAAAACTACCTTGACCCCTCCTTCTTTTATAAAATTGAAAAAACAAATGAGTATTAATAGTAGTAGTTAGACTGGAAAATCTATTCCTGTACTATATCTACATATGCAAAGAAATCAGTCCTAATCAGCATATTAAGATAGACTGTAAAAGGACTGAAATTAAAATTGGTAATGTACTATTTTCCCTCTTTGAACTGGTTGGAATGTGTGGGGATCTGATTTGAATGAAGAACATGTACATTACACACACACCCCCACTGACACAGTCACACATTTTCCTCAAATCGGAATATAAATTATCAATTTTTCCAAGCTACACCAGTTCCCCTTGAAGGAAAATGAAATTCCACCCTCCAGCTTTATAAGATATTCATCACTCTCATTTTTAACTACAAAATGCTTTCTTGAGAGATACAGTACTTACTGGTTTGCTGTTGTTTTTGCGTTTATTTTTTCTAAGCAATTATATTTTTTATCTAGTCAGGCACAGACTGCATTTTGAACTAACTATACCCTTTCTTTCCATTTTTAAATAGATAACCAAAACACAGCTGCGTGGATTTTGGTAAAAATATTTCTATTTGAAATTCTTTTTAATTTAATTTCAAGCAGAAACAAAATAATTGCTATTAAAAAAAACATATAAAATGAAACATTCAGTCAGTAAAAGATGCATAGAAGTGAAAAAAGGCAGCTTCTGTAAACACCTGCTTTCAAATCAAACGATAGCTTTTCTAAGGTGTGTATGTTTTGGATGTTGGTTGTTGCCCCTGCTGTCTTGATTTCTCATGAAATTAACTGGTTTATTAAGTGAAAATATTGTTGCTGAAAATCCTGGAATGTTGTCGTGGCCACACAAATCATTGTTTTATTTTAGGAATAGTATTACTATGCCTCACATGCCACTAGTTTATAACAGGAAGGGGATCACAGCCACCAATGGTAAAACACAAGTGTTTTTTTGGATGTTTGAGACGGCCATTGTAACCAAAATTCACAGAATCATTGATCAGTGTTTAACACTAATCATATTATTGGTTTAGTGAAACTTCACTTTCATGTACAGTATGAAGACCCAAAGCACCTCCAAATTTATGAGATGGGTCGAATGGCCTCCTCTTATTTTTAAACTTTCCTATGTTCTTAAGAAATGTTTAATTGTTTGTTTTTCAATCACTTACAATCACTTAAGATGGCTTTGCAAAGAGAACAAATAAAGGATATGTGTTCTCTAAATAACAACAGAAGCAACAAACATTCAGCTGCTGTACTGAACAGCTACATAACGAAATGTTTTAATTAGTAAATTAAGCCTCTCTCCAAGAATCACTACAATCCTAAAACCATTCAAACAGAACACCAATATACATTTATTCCAATTAATAAATATTTTGTAGAAATACATCTAGTTCAGCTTATTACTCAAACCCAAAAGCCTAGCTTTCATGCTGCAGAAAGCTATTTGTTTGTTCCACTGTTTCCATTTTCATCCACCCCCAGAATGACATTAAATACATCAACTAACTAGAAAAAAAGCATCTTCAAAAAGCCTGCAGAAACTCGTTACCAAAGGATCAATGCAAACGCCAGAAAAAAAAACATTTTTCTTCTTCTTCCCTCTCTAGCCTGAATGGTTGTGGAGACAACTATTGCCAGATTAAATTAAATTTTTTAATGTGCTCTTGATATGAAATAAATGTTTCCCTGTTTTCTAAACATTGCCTTTCTAAAGAAAGGAGGGAATAATCCCACCTGAAAAGAGTACCACTACACAGAGAAATGTTTTAATTCCTTTTATCAGATAAGGAATCTGAAATCCACAATGCACAATTACTGTAATGCATGCAGCTCCACTACATCAGATTCAAAGAAGGAATTTTAAATGTGCTTACATTCTCCAAGTGTTTGTCGGTATGCATTAATAAATCAGTAAGAAAGGGAGAAGAAAGAAAATGGGTAATACCCAAGCAGTTTAAAATAATAATTTCATTTTTGCAACATATTTTGAAGTCAAACCATGCTTTGGTTTTCTTAGCGTTGTCTAGACTGTGGTTGATTGTTTATCTAGTCTCAGGGGGATTAAGGAATTCATTTTTTTATTATAACATGTTTCTAAGGAATAATATGATAAACTATTCATAGAAAAACACCTACTTACATAAAGTTCGCTTTAACAAACTTAGAAGAGCATACAGTGGCACAGCAAAATATGAAGTTGTGAGGTATGAAAATGGAATACATGGTGTAATGGAAATATAATCCTCCCAAAACAAAGATTTTAAAACAGAGATCCTTGAACTTAACTTATTATAACTGACATATTGTTCCGTTTAACATATTAAGTTTTTAAACATAAATTCTGGAGGAAGGCAAATTTTAACCTTGCACTTCTTGCATAGATGAGTACCTTTGGTACGGATCTTGTCTCACACTTTGTTCTTCTACCTTTCTACACCCTTGCAACTGCCTCTCTGGTTCATTCCTCACAAGTGAGGGGTTTTGCCAACCAGGCAACAACAAATATAAAAAAATAAAATATATCCTTGTCAATATTGTCTTTTTAGAATAATTAGAATTTGATTGAACTACTGAAATACTTTGAATGTTCTGAAACTTTATTTTAACTGACATAGGAAAGAGCCTGTAATGATTACTACTAAGGAGAAACATTTCAGTAAAAAGAATACTTAGATTAATATGATGTAATCTGGGAAGGTTTTTAAAATTGCAGTCTTAAATGTATA